ACTTTACCTGTATAGGTATATACAGGTAAGCATATACTTCTATAAGTGGAACCTTCTAATTGATCACCTGACATAAGATGATGATACCATTGGTTGAGATATTGAAAGAAACATGTTTTTATTGGTCCTCATTTTCCCTCCACTTTTTGTCTGTAAGAAAGATTTCTTTGTGTGATTTGGCACTTTCGAGTCAGATCTTGGAGAAGCCACTTGGGCTTACTATTCTACTACTTTTTGCTGAACCTGGACATGGCTTCATACTCCTGTAAGTTTCTATTTGTTCTTCTCTATTAACATGTAGTTTGTATAATGTTGTAAGATATGTAATTGCTACCTTTTGAATGTACTTGAGTCTGACAAAATGTTGGAAGACTAAAAGTCGAATTTAAAGTAATGCAAATCTGTTGTAAAAAGTTAAGCGGCTTGAACATAAAACTATTTTCATGCATTTATTGTATTTCTGCAGTAACTGAGATTGATAAGATATCTTGGTACATATATTGGTTTTATTTTGGTGAAGATATTTTAAGAGTAATTAGAACCATTGTAACATGTGGTATTTTATTTATGCATAGGACCCTGGGTCGACTGAATATTGATTACAATTGGAAGAGTCTAGGAACTCGGCCCATAGCAAGGTACACATATATCAATATAGTATTGCGAAGTTTGTATTTTGAGTATCATTCCAAGTTAATGCTAAATGTAATGCTGAGGGTAGATTATCTCCCCTTAGACTGTATCGATCCAAGATTTATAAGCGTAATTATATAAATTGTGTAAAGGTTAATAAATATAACATTGTGTATTGTTAGAATGATATGGTTTCATAGATTATTTGAAGTAACATTGAATAAATAGGGTCATATGTATGTATGATAATGTATGTATGCATGCAAGTATAAGTGTAAGAGATATGTATGTCATCTAAATCTGTCTTATTTGTATCTGTTACAGAATTCAGGATATCCATGTAAAGATATGACAGACATATATTAATTCATGAAATTCGATGATATACATGCAAGAGTAAACGTGAACTGATTAATGAACAGTCTTTGTGAGTTATTCAAACATTCACTGGGAACTAACCCTGCCCAGTTACACTGGTGACAGGATATATAATATAGTCACCACATATACTGGTAACATGATATATTATATAGTCACTACATATACCGGTAACGAGATATATATAGTCACCACATATACTGGTAACAGGATATTTTATATTCTCACCACATATTCTGGTAACAGGATATATTATATAGTCACCACATATACTGGTAACATGATATATTATATAGTCACTACATATACCGGTAACGAGATATATATAGTCACCACATATACTGGTAACAGGATATATTATATAGGCACCACATATACTGGCAACAGAATATATTATATAGTCACCACATATACTGGTAACAGGATATATAGCCACCACATATACTGGTAACAAGATATATTATATAGTCACCACATATACGGGTAACAGGATATATAGCCACCACATATACTGGTAACAGGATATATTATATAGTCACCACATATACTGGTAACAGGATATATAGCCACCACATATACTGGTAACAAGATATATTATATAGTCACCACATATACGGGTAACAGGATATATAGCCACCACATATACTGGTAACAGGATATATTATATAGTCACCACATATACTGGTAACAAGATATATTATATAGTCACCACATATACTGGTAGCAGGATATATGATATAGTCACCATATATACTGGTAACATGATATATAGTCACCACATATACTGGTAACAAAATATATTATATAGGCACCACATATACTGGTAACAGGATATATAGTCACCACATATACTGGTGACAGGATATATTATATAGGCACCACATATACTGGTAACATGATATATAGTCACCACATATACAAGTAACAGGATATATTATATTGTCACCACATATACTGGTAACAGAATATATAGTCACCACATATACTGGTAACAGGATATATTATATAGTCACCAAATATACTGGTAACAAGATATATTATATAGTCACAACATATACTGGTAACAGGATATATTATATAGGCACCACATATACTGGTAACAGGATATATTATATAGTCACCACATATACTGGTAACAGAATATATTATATAGTCACCACATATACTGGTAGCAGGATATATGATATAGTCACCATATATACTGGTAACATGATATATAGCCACAACATATACTGGTAACAGGATATATAGTCACCACATATACGGGTAACAGGATATATAGCCACCACATATACTGGTAACAGGATGTATTATATAGTCACCAAATATACTGGTAACAGGATATATTATATTGTCACCACATATACTAGTAACAGGGTATATAGCCACAACATATACTGGTGACAGGATATATTATATAGTCACCACATATACGGGTAACAGGATATTTAGCCACCACATATACTGGTAACAGGATATATTATATAGTCACCACATATACTGGTAACAGGATATATTATATAGTCTCCACATATACTGGTAACATGATATATAGCCACAACATATACTTGTGACAGGATATATTATATAGTCTCCACATATACTGGTAACAAAATATATTATATAGGCACCACATATACTAGTAACAGTATATATAGCCACAACATATACTCGTGACAGGATATATTATATTGTCACCACATATACTAGTAACAGGATATATAGTCACAACATATATTGGTAACAGGATATATATAGTCACCACATATACTGGTAACAAGATATATTATATAGTCACTACATATACTGGTAACAGGATATATCATATAGGCACCACATATACTGGTAACAGGATATATTATATAGGCACCACATATACTGGTAACAGGATATATTATATAGTCACCACATATACTGGTAACATGATATATAGCCACAACATATACTGGTGACAGGATATTTTATATAGGCACCACATATACTGGTAACATGATATATAGTCACCACATATACAAGTAACAGGATATATTATATTGGCACCACATATACTGGTAACATGATATATAGCCACAACATATACTGGTGACAGGATATATTATATAGTCACCACATATACCGGTAACAAGATATATATAGGCACCACATATACTGGTAACATGATATAAAGTCACCACATATACAAGTAACAGGATATATTATATTGGCACCACATATACTGGTAACATGATATATAGCCACAACATATACTGGTGACAGGATATATTATATAGTCACCACATATACCGGTAACAGGATATATATAGTCACCACATATACTGGTAACAGGATATATTATATAGTCACCACATATACTGGTAACAGGATATAT